AAGAGTGTTTTTTTATGAAATTATTCATTGTTTGTTATTGCATAGAAAAATAAAAAATGGTTCACATAACCTTTTAAATAAAAATGTAACTATCCGATCAGCAACTTATGGGGGGAAAGTTTTCATTGTTTTATCATAATTTTTTTTTACCACTGTATACTATTTTTGACCGATTTAGAAATTCTTAAAAATAATTACAGTTTTTCTCAGTAGCTTTGGTGCATTTCTCACTACACTATTTACATTTGCACAACAGGAAATGCATTTCTCAAAAGAATTAGTCATTTGTGCACATCATAGTAGCGGTTTCTCATTCCTTCTAACAAATTGCAAATGCTTTCGGACATGCATCAATTGCTTTTATACAACTCTGCTATTTATAACATTATCATTTGCTTATGTCATGTCAGTCAAAATTAACTTGTCAAAGCTGAATAGTCATCCCATATAAAACTAATAGTCCTCATTTCATTATTTGAGTAATTACATACAAAAATTATGAACTAGTTGTCAAAATCTGTCAACAATTATTCAGAAAATCTCTTCTAAATTGAACAATTTCATGAATGATTTACAGACATGTGTATGTTGTAGGTTCAGTTCCAATATGTTCTGCAATATAGTTTACAGATGTGCCCAGCTTTACCCAAAGGAAGCTTATGCTTGTTGTAAATAAGGGTGTATTTATTCTTTTGCACAATGCTGTGAATAAATTAGAATTGCAACAAGCATATTGACCTTATTCTCCGCAGAAGAGCGGGCGCTGCCATTTGAACCTTTTTGGCACGAGACTTCCGGTCTCATTCACTTCCATTCATTTTTAGACATTAAAAACTGCTCGTTTCGCTGTTTAATGTTGCAAACTGATATTTCCTTGTTATATTATTCTACTTGGTCTGTATAGTCATGCAAACATTTGTTTGTAGAGCAAGTAGTTTGACCGTTTTTTGCCGTTTATTATTCCTTGTCATTTCTCCCATAGGCGACTGAAACGGAAGTTCTAAGACAGTCGCGAAAACAGGCGCACTTCCGCATTTTAGAATAAGGTCAATACAGTAAAAATGTGAAACATACATATTCGGTGTCTTGTACTCAGATGCCTCACTAAATGTCTAACTTTACTTTAGTTTTCAAATGGCTGTGCAGATAGTATACAGTGCTGTCTTGAGCATTTTCAGGAAGTGTCACCAACATCTGACTTTTTTGCATTAAAAAAGTGTCCAGAGTAAACTGATATAATGAAAACATGACAAAGCCATTTGACTATCTTGTTCATAAACAATGGTGTCTGGACTTTTCATTTTAATGATACTGACACTTTGATTGACATGAATACTTGCTTTTAAAGAATGAACTATCCTTTTTGAGCATGTGACGCGCTTTTGCAGGTTATCAGCTAGGTTTTGCATTTTGTACTAATTGTTTTGAGAAATGCATTAACTGTTGTGCAGAAATGCACTGGTGTTGTGAGAAACACACCAAAGCGACTGAGAAAAACTGTAGTTTTACTGTAGTGACCACTGTAGTGACCACCCTAAAAATAAAGATAAAAAATAAACTATAATGCTAAGTATTTATATATTCCAATACTGATGGGAAATCTTATTTGAACATTGAATGAAATGTATTAAATAGAAAAACATACATTAAATAAATTGTAATATATTGACTAAAGATATAATATTACTCAAAAATAAATCAAAATCTATCAATCTTAAACTGAATAAATTGATTTTACTTGACGATTAAAAAATTGTTTCTGTAGCTCAGCAATAAAACAAAAAAACAAAATAAAGAGTTTATGTCAGATGGGATGGTGGGTCAAATAAAAAGGTTATGGGCCAACTTTGGCCTGTGGGCCTTACTTTGGGCATCTCTGGTCAAAATCAAATTTCAATCAATTTCAAACTGGGTAAACTCATTTTACTTGACGATTTAATAATATTTGTAAACTCTTTGGTGTTTTTGTAAAGTTAGAGCAAACGCTAATTTGTAGCTTCTAATTCATTAGCTTCTAGTAGCTTCTAGTATTTTAGCTTTTACCCAGTGCTAGATAATCAACATTAGTTATAAATAATGATTACAAATTTAATTGTTCTATCATATTACTTTTTAACATGTTATACACTTAAAAACAAAAAAGATTCAGAAATTCTTAAAAAATTTAAGGAACATGACCACCCTAAACAAATGAATAAATAAACTGTAATGCAAAGTATTTATTATTATTATTATTATTATATATTTTCATACTGATATATATACACACACACACACACATATATATATATATATATATATATATATATATATATATATATATATATATATATATGTGTGTGTGTGTGTGTGTGTACTGTATAACTTATATGTATATATATACACACACATTTTAGAATGAACATATTACAGTAAAAACAAAAACAATCTTATGTATAACAGAATGGGTTACACTAGATTTTGCCTTGATTTGCACCAATGTCTTCTGCTTAATCTAATATGTCGAGTAACTTTTACTTTTATAAACAATCTGGTTCATTTATCATTCATCAACATTTAATTGAAACATTTGATTTCAGTTTGCTTTTTTTGTAGCTCAGCAACAAAACAAACAGCCAAAAAGTGTTCGGTCAGATGGTATGGTGGGCCAAACGAAAGGTGATCGGCCAACTTTGGCCTGCAGGCCCTACTTTAGGCATCTCTGGTCTAAATCAAACTTCAATCAGATTTCGAACAGAGTAAAAACTCATTTTACTTGACGATTTTATAAAATCTGTTTAACTTAACTCTTAGGTATTTTTTATAAAGTTAAAACAAACGCTAATTTGTAGTTAGACATTAGCTTCTAGCGGTGAGTATTTTGGCCTTTACCGAGTGCTAGATAATTAACATAAATTACCAACAATTATTAAAAACGTTTAATGTCTGATATGTAAACATCTTATTCAGATGTTCAAGAAATTCTACACATCGGCTCGTTGGTCTAGGGGTATGATTCTCGCTTAGGGTGCGAGAGGTCCCGGGTTCAAATCCCGGACGAGCCCACCTTTTTCCTTTTTACCCCTCCTATCTCATCTTTTCCATTAGATACTTAGTGTTTTCTCATTTCCACATTTCAATAGAATATAATTTTTAAAACACTGACGCTCCTTCAGCTTTCGACTGAAGCGTCAATCTCTTTGCTAAAGCTAAAAGAAGAAGCTTTGCTAGAGCTGACAGCGCCTCTTAGTGGCGACAAAACGGTTTAGTAACGTAATCAACTTGACAAAACCAATACTTCCTCAAATATACTGACATATAATGTAGTTTTTTTATATATTAATCAAGTTAATGGTGACCGCTTCATCCCAGTTCTGTGTATTAGTTTTTAGTCTATATGGTATGAGTGCTAAACAATAATAAATATATTAAATCGGCAAAATTATTAGTTCATTAGGTTAATGGAGTGTGAGTGACCCCAGGTGTCATGTTAGCTTCGTTTACCTTTTAACGGTCTTCTGCGTTTTGAATTATGGGTTACACTTCCGGTTTGGGGAATTTCACAAAATAATTTTCTCTAATGCGCAAGGACTTGCTATTTATGTTCTGCCAAAAGTAAAGGTCAATTCTAATAAATGTTTTATTTTAATACTGGGTAGTTGAACGGAGACGAATGTGTTTAAAATGAAAGTATTTATAAACCCCATGTTTGTTTACAGTTTTAAAGTTTCTTACATAATTGGCTCAGAGCATCATGAGGCGCAGGACAGGACCATTTCCAGGTTCAGAGGTGATGTTTTATTTTATTTTTTTATTAAATGTACTGTTTCTGGTGTGGTGTTGGTTGTTAATTGCTTTATAATGACTTTGGCAAACTAGCAGTGAATCTGTATGTACAGTGCATGCGGAAAGTATTCATACGCTTCACTTTTTCCACATTTTTTATGTTACAGCCTTATTCCAAAATGGATTAAATTAATTTATTTCCTTAATTTTTTTTACACAATACCCTATAATGACAATGTGAAGAAAGATTTTTTTGAAGTTGTTGCAAATTTATTGGAAATAATAAACCCAAAAAAAATCACCTGTACATCAGTATTCACAGCCTTTGCTGTGAAGCTCTAAACTGAGCTCAGGTCCATTCTGTTTCCACTGATCATTCTTGAGATGTTTCAGCAGCATAACTGGAGTTCCCCTGTGGTAAATTCAGTTGATTGGTCATGACATGAAAAGGCATACACCTGTCTATATAAGGTCCAGGGTTGACAGTGCATGTTAAAGCACAAACCAAGCATGAAGACAATGGAATTGTCTTTTGTCAGGTTCCCTTCCAACCTGATAGAGTTTGAGAGGTACTGCAAAGAGGAATGGGCAAAACTTCCAAGCTTGAGGCATCGTATTCAAGAAGACTTGAGGTTGTAATTGCTGCCAAAGGTACATCAACAAAGTATTGAGCAAAGGCTGTCAATACTTCTGTACATGTGATTTTTCAGGTTTCTTATTTTTAATAAATTTGAAACAATTTCAAAAACTCTTTTTCACATTGTCATTATGGGGTGTTGTGTGTAGAATTTTGAGGAAATCAATGAATCTAATCCATTTTGAAAAAGGCTGTAACATACAAAAATGTGGAAAAAGTAAAGCGTTATGAATAATTCCGGATGCTTTGTAAACTTAACACCCCGGACAGCAAAATACACTCGGGCCAGTTTTCAACGTACGTTTTCTCTTGCTGAAGGAGCGCCAGAAGCTGTGAGTGAGAAAAAAAAATACATTTAAAGTGTGAGGACTAATCAGTTTTAGAGTACTATGTTATGTGTAAATGAACAGCATGAGAGCAATTGCAATTTATTGTCACGGTGGGGAATTAATTTTTTAGATAATAAATTATTTGTGAATCGTTTAATAAACTTTAAATATACATAGGCTTTATTATTAGAGCAAAATTATTTTCTGAATTTATTATTTATTTATTTATATTGCAGATATTGTTCCTAAAAATTGCGCTCTTGTTTGCT